CGGGCGCCAATCCTCCGCGTCGGCGATCGGCCACTATTTCCCCTCAACAATACGGCACTCAGAAAAGCAAAGAAAAAGCAAAAAAGCAAAAAAAGCAAAAAAGGAAATCACAAAAGGGGGATTCGGAGATTGATTTTCTTAAAGGAAGAAGCATAATGCCATTTGCATTTGTCCCGTTCTTGGCGCCCAATGCAACTAAAATAAAATCAAAATATACCAAAGACACCAGACTTTAAAAAATACTGAGGGAAAGCACCACACAGAAAAGTGAGCAAAATCGAGCACACAAGCCGAATTTACATGCTAGAGCGGATGAGTTAGTGATTCTTGAACATGGGTGGGATTGACTAACCGCTCAACAGGGCTAAGACCAAGAACGCGCATGCCGTTGTTCAGAACTTGTCGGGCCGAGGCATACAACGCCATACGTGCCTGCTTAACATCTGGCTCGCTACCGATCACCTTGAGCACATCGTAGCTAGAGCTCAACATGTGTGTCATGCGGAACAGATAACTGAGGACAGTGATGGGCTCAAGAGTCTTGGCAGTCTGAAGAAGGACGTCAGGCCATTGGGCCAGAAGGCGGACTAAATCAACGGCGTGCTGCTCGGTCAAGATATCGAAGTTGGCGTTGACCAGCTCATCAACATCCAATTCAGACTTGCGGGTCATCGAGCACAGACGAGCGTGAGCGTACTGCAGGTATGGGCCGGTGTCACCCTCGAAGGATGTCATGGCATCCAGGTTGAACTCGTAGCCGTTAATGCTAAAAGGGAACATATCATTAGTAAACAGATAGACGGAAGTAGTAGGAAAAAACTCTGTACATACCGCTTGCCAGTCATATCTTGCACCATGACGGAGGTAATACCCAGAATATCGGCAGTCTTCACGGGATCCTCGACCTGTGAGTACTTCACTTCATTCTTCTTCATGACCTCATGCATCTTGTCACCGACATCGTGGAGGATGTCATCCAAGAACTTGACGGTACCCTTACGAGTACTCATACCACGGACCATACCAAAATTAATGTGCTGGCAACGAGAGGCCAGGTCCTTGTGGCCCATGAGTTCAGTGACTTTGAAGAGCTGAGCCAAGTGGAGATCCTGCTGGGCGGCAACAACGTAGATCATCTTGTCGAAGTGGTACTCGTTATCGCGCTCGGTGATGGCACCGATATCACGGGTCAGGTAGAGAGGAGTGCCATCCTTACGGACAATGATGGCCTTACCGAGCTTCTTGGCACCATGCTTGGTGAAGTCCACAATAACAGCACCCTCAGACTTCTCGGAGACACCAGCCTTCTCCATAAGCTTATAGGCATCGGTCATGCTCTCAGACTTGATCTGAGATTCACCGGAGTAAACATCGAAGTCGATGTTGAGACGGGCGTAGGTCTGCTTGTACTTCTCAATACTAAGATCACGGAACTTGCGCCAGAGAGCAAGAGCATCCGGGTTACCGTCCTCCATACTCTTGAAGTAGCGACGAGCTTTCTCATCCTCGCTCACGTCCACAAGCTTGGCAAGCTGTGCTTCGAGCTCAGCAACATCCTCGTTCTTCTCCTTGTTCGCCTTAATCTGTTCCTTCAGCTCCTTGATAGGTCCATCCTGTTCGCTGACCTGACGGTTGATCTTGACGTAGACATCGAAAAGATGGTTGATGGGGTCCCGGTTGAGGGCTTCATCATTGCCGAATTCCTTGAAGCCGTTAGCCAGCAGACCATACTGCTTACCCCAGTCACCCAGGTAGTTCATCTTGATGACTTTCCATCCCATAACAGTATAGATATTGGCGAGGAAACCACCGATGATGGTACTGCGCAGATGACCAGCGTGGAAGGGCTTGGCGATGTTGGGCGACGAGAACTCGATGATGATCTTCTTCTGGCCCTTGGAGGGGTCGGAGGGGTCCTTGAGACCCTGGTTACCGTTCGTTCCATAGGCAGCCTTCTCCTTCAGGATACGGCCAAGAACATTGCTGGTCAATGGCTGACGTTTGCAGAAGAACTGGATGTGAGGACCAAGTTGAGTTGGGGGGTGGATAAGGTCGGAGGCGGGGAACTTGGAGACAAGTTCCTTGGCAAGCTCCACGGGGTTTTGCTTGATCTGAAGAGAAGCCACCTAATTATATACAAGAAGACATTGTTAGTCCAAGGCCTTTAGATCATGCGGAACATGCGAATTGCGCGAGGCACGTGCCATCACATACCGGCAATGAAAGGTCACCCTTGTCCAAAGTACTGGTCCAGGCAATGCGCGCGTAGATCTTTTGAGCATCGATATCAGTGGCTTTGCTCAACTCCTCCGCGATGTGCTGGCGGTAGACATCCATTGGGTTCAGTGTCGGGAAGCAGCCGGCGAACTGAGACTTCTGTGCCGTGGATTGGAGGGACAAAGCCTCAACAGAGGCGGGAAGGGAAGCTGCGGACATGATTGAGAATCCTCGCGATATACCGAACGCACGTATCAAAGTCGGAAAAGTCGAAGGTTTAGAGGGGCAACGCAACGGAGAAAAAATGGCTATGAGTCGCCGAGCCCCGCTTAGACAATGACCCATAAAGAGGGGAAAATCACTCGGGGGATCTTTTTTTTTGCCGTTTTCTTTTTTTTTTGCCTTTTTGACTTTCCCTCTTACTCACAAGGGCGGTGAGTCACGTGGCTGTTCAACTCCCATCGATTCGCGTGTATGACGTCACCAAAGAACGTGATCAGTTGAAACCCTAGTTTGAACAAATGTCTCATGGTTATGAGACACACGAGTAGAAACCGCTCAACTACTTTTATCATGAGCTAGACCTGTTACCTGAGCCACTGGTCAGACAAAACCTCTGGATGGCTTGCAGACAGTTCTAATGAAAAGCTCCAACTCCGGAATGCTAACTACAACGCATTTTAGCGAGTGCCTGCTTCTTCAAATCCTGCAATTTCTGAGAGATCAAGGCAAACAAAGCTGTCGTCTACTGACTGGAAGTGGCAAAAATGTGCGGCTGTATTAGACCTCTTCTGGGCTCAATACAAGCTTTGCGCAAGCTCAGACACTCTCTGGCGTGGTACGAACTTTCAATGTTGTCGGGAGACTGTCATATGGCCATTGCAACAACCGGCTGGGGTGGATATTGCGCGATCTTTTTGAATCTGAACCTGGATAAGACTGAATTGTATTGAATCAAGATCTTCTCTGGTAATTGATCCTCTCAGCAGTGAGCTGCATATCTCTTCTGCTTCGCTGCGTAGATGCAGTCACATTCCAGTTTACTTACATTCCATCTCATGTCTACGGTCTTCGGAGCGTGCCCTTCTGGTTTTCCAGACAGATCTTTGGGCCTTAATCTCACATCGCAGTTGCAGGATCTGTATTTACCTAGCAAGCAAAGATGCAAAAAGTTCCAAAGCTATTGGAAATGCTCCAATTCCCAAACAAAAATGCACCACAAGACGTATCTCTATGGTCCCGTAGAATGATGGGAAATGTTTAAGTACTCTGAGCTTGCAAGAAGTGCAATAGGGGTGGCGGCACAGGGGGAAGGGGCAATTTGGACGCACAGTGCAAACGGTACTGCGCTTTCGCTGATAAACTTGTCTCCAATCAACGTATCTCACTATCACCTTGCAACGCGACACGCCTCACTCATAAATTTCCACTTTTAGCAATCGGCCGTCTTTCATCCCTACTCCAACTCACGAAGTGCTCATCTTCAGAGATCTAGCAGATCCATACGGGATACAACCCCATGGATTCCAAGGCGGGTTCGATGGACCCAAATATCGATCCCAGTCTAACTTCCCAGCTTGGTCAGCTGGTGGGTTTTCCGTTGGAAATCAAAACCGAGCCCGATTTGGCCTCGACTGCCCCGACTCGCATCACGACTGGTTTGCCGGATGCGTCTTCGTGGCCGTATGACGATTGTTGGCATAGCACCCGCCCCATTGAGCCTGCTTTCTGGGCGTAAGGACATCTCCTAACGTATCAAACACGTCTCAAATACGTGTACCGCACATGTGTCAGTGGCTAACATGGTATCAGTCCCAATTCCAAGCTTTGCGACTGCCCCGAGCACTCTGAAACCACTTGGCCAGCCGAGCATGCTGTTCTTGTGAAATTCCCAAGTGCTTGGAACCTCTGCTTATTACTGACGCATCCCCCATCAGTTCATTCCTGACTGTGCAAAGCGATGCCCTTACTGCCCGTGGAAGACTGAAAAGTCGGCAAAGGCTGGAAACCCGGCACCCATGTTGCGTCGACACATGCGCCAGTATCATCTGGTGAGTACTAAACACACTGAAATCCCATTTAGTTCACGCTAATTTGACCCAGAAGGAACATCGCGATGACTATCCAGGTATTACTGTTGATCCGCTTCGTGTGTATGTCTATCTGAAATTTCTCGTTTAATGGTTCTTAGCTAACTCTACTACCACTAGGTCTCTGAAGAGGGAGTAGTGAGTCTATCCCCTCCAAATGATTTTATGGGCTTTGCTAACCTTTTATCATTGTAGCGTCGGTTATGAACTCACCCAAGGCGGTCGACCTACACTCGAGAAGAACACGCAAGAGGCATAGAAAGATGCACGTGAGAGGCAAATCGGGATAACTGTAGCTTATTCCTCTGTCCATTCTTTCTTTTGTATCTCAAAGTCACCAGCCCTGGCTTCCAGTGCCGCCTCGGAAAGGAGAACACAATGGCTGAAGAATACGGGGCTTAGTCTAATTGCAACAAAACAATGAGAATTTAATTAACTCAAAATCTTTGTTTCCTCATTCATGCTCCTCACTGACTTGACAATGGGATTGAAACACCTTGTCTTTGTTCTCGCCAAAGGGACCAACTCAGTGTGTCATGAGGGGATATTGTTTTATAGCCGGCCAGCCCCACGTATGTATTGGGCTTCAATTCCCAGTATCCAGCCCACCGAAAAAGCAAAATTATCCACAGGTATCGCCATCTTGAAACTATGAGCCCTTGATCAGCCAATGGACTCTGGGAGCTGATCAATATGTCATACTACATTAGCATCCACCACGGCCCAGGTGTGGATGAGAGCCCTGAAAACATATGGGTCAATATCACCTTTACTCCCAGACAACATTTTTACCTTCGCACTGACGGAGCGTTGATTTTTTATATCATTGAACGCATTCGGGAGAGGAAGTTCGAACTTGGTCGTGACCCCAAGGATAGGCATCATCGATGGTGTATCTCGATACCAGTCTCTAAATCGCATAGAACAATGGACGGAGTTGTTGCTGATGCTTTTCAACTGGCGGAATGGTACAAGGTCCAGATTCTGAATGGAAATGCAAGTATCAACCGCGAGCTACTATTTGATCGGAAGCCCTATGAGGAAGGTAAGGAATGCTGTAAAGATGATATTTGTGATCGGATACTACATCCGGAGTGGTGGTCTAAAGATTCTAGTCCAGATACTAGTCAAGACTCTTAGTGGTTTGGCTTGCTAAAATAAATACATATGCAACCTCCGAGTTCTTTATTTTCACTTCATAAAGTGACTGATATGTGTTTAATATTAAAGAGCTTTGTAAGCTTCCTAAACATTGTAAATAGCCAAAAAGCCGTTTTCTAATATAGCTACAGGAGCAATCATAGCACTGTGTCAGTGTACAGCATCCAGGGTGTGTTAATTGAAAACAGAAACTGCTTGAACATGTTTGTTTCGCTTAGGATACATCTACAATTCAAACTCAGGAAGAGTGACTCGAGTGTTGAGCCAGGTGAAGCTTTCACACCGATGTCGAATGTACACATTGGAAGAACATGGAGTGGGCAACATATTGACAAATTGAACAATTTTTTTGACATCATATCAGAACGTAGCATTCATACCGAGATCTAAGGGGTCATTTCGCCGCTCGAGCTCAGAGGGACCTCTTTTGATCCCTTGTAGACTAGGATTTATTCACACATCCAACCACACACCAGACAGGGAGTATACAACAAGACAAACATGCGTCACAGCCGAGCCTATCCTATGCCGTATTCACAATTCACATATATAAAAGGGTAGATCCATGTTCGAAAACAGCAACTTTTGGTTGTTTCGCAGCGAATCCCTTAGAAGCAGAAGACCTGGTCCTCTAACTTGCTGACGGGGCGCGCCTTGGTGTATCCAAGAGCCTCAGTGGACTTCTTCATGGCACTGATCATGGGAGGGGGACCGCAGAGGAAGATCTTGACATCGGCAGCGGGGGCGGGCAGACGCTCCTATAAGAAAGTCTAATTAACACCGAGGTAGCACAGCCGAGCACAACGCGGACACTTACCTTGATCATGTCGGGGGTGACAAAGCCGACACCGCCGGTCCAGCCCTCGGGAGGGTTGTTAAGAACGTAGTACACGCGGAATCCATCGTCCTCCTTCTCCAGCGCCTCGAGCTGGTCCTTGAGCAAGATATCCTCGGGGTTGACGTTGGCGAAGATCAGGTCAACCTTGGTGGTGTCGTTGCCACCGTTGCGAGGACGGTTACGGATGATAGCCTTGATGACCTGCAGCATAGGAGTGATACCAGTACCACCGGAGATCATACCGATGTGACGGCACATGTTGGGGGTGTAGACCATGGCACCCTTGGGACCGCGGACCTTCATTTTATCGCCGATCTTCAGCTCGGTAAGATACTTGGAGATGTTACCCTGGGGATAAGCCTTGACGAGCAGATCAAAGTAGCCGGCCTCATTGTCGGAGGAGATGGGGGTATAAGAGCGAACAACCTCCTTGGGCTGACCGGCGATGGTGGCGGCGAGAGAGATGTGCTGACCGATGGGGAGGCCGAGAATGTCGGTGGAACGGGGGAGGGCAAAACGGTAGATAGCAACATTGTGGGAGATCTCATTCTTTTCCTTGAGGACGAAGTTCTGGAATTCGGTGGGGTTCAACACCTTACGAGGCTCTGCGATCAATGAGGTCAGTTCAGTTCGTCAGGTTCTCCACCAACATTGGGATGAAAAAAGAATGGACGCACTGTTGCTGAAAACCAAGTAACCGGCTAGAATTCCAGCCACGGCGATTGCATAAGTCACAAACTCGGGCTTAATGGCGTAAACACCCGCGATGAGCAGGGCCGAGGGCGCAAGGGCCGTGCCGATGGTGGCGAGACTTCGGGGAATCAGCCATTGTTCAATGTTATAGTGAAAAGGTGAAGAAAATTAACTAACCTCATTCTAATAGAATTCAGATACTGTTGTTAAAAAAGAAACAGTTGCAAAAGCAGGAGAAAAAAAAACGGAAGAGAGCGAAGATTAAAAGAAATGAGGGGGCTAGTCCGCCCAACGGAATTTCCCACCTTTTGGGGTTACGATTTCCCCGACTTCGTGTGTTATACTCGGACTTCTCGTCCAACTTGGTTGATTGGGGTTAGTTGACTGTGGTTAATGGCTTAGTGACGCTTATTTACGATTCCTTCAGTTGATGTTTCAAAATCATCAAAAAATGCCCGAAGTACCAGCAGTCCCTGCTTTTAATCTAACGGAATTGGACTACAAGCTCCTGGCCATGACCGATGAGGAATTCATATACCACGACTGGGAAGACCTGAAAAGTATCATCGGTCAGTGTGCCCTTATCTCCCGAGTTGCCTTAAAAATGTCTTCCCTCATACCACGTATTAGCGCGAAATGATCTCGGTGCTCTGAAGCGGAAGCCTTCCGATCTCCGTCGATACCTGGCCTGGACACAAGAGACCAAAACCCAGTATGGCACGATCATGAATTATATCTGCCAACAACGATTAAAGTGGCATTTACCGGTAAATACTGGCGGCACTGAATCCGCGGTTGACCAGCAGAGTGGAACCCTGGTGACCTTCAAGAACCCGCGTCCCTTTGCCGATCCCGAGGACTACAAGATCCTCCGCAATGACTGGCCCTATGGCCTCACTCCCGGAATTTCACATCTGGTTGTGTGGCTGCGGACTCCCATCCCTGTACAATCTGGTGAGGGCCATCTGACCGATGAATCTCGTGCAATGATCAACGGGTTTGTTCGAAAGACTTTTGTCGATCGTTTGGCCAAGGATCCTCAAAATTTCTCAGACCCTGACTCCCATGTGCTGTGGTTTAAGAATTGGGTTGGTTTACAGAGTGTGAGGGCATTGGAGCATGTCCACATTTTGGTTCGTGATGTTCCTGAGGATATCCTATTTGAATGGATAAACGAGTGAGGTTGCTGGTGGGATTGTTGATAGATTTCTCGCCTGATTGACAAGATTTGCATCGGCATCTTACAAAAAGGAAGCTTTTCGCTCCCAAAATCTTTCACCGAGTATTTAACACCGTCATGAAGCAACAGAGAAAGGATCAAGATGGTCAGAAAAAGCTCTCAAACGCTTTTCGTCAATCCGCAATGGACACGAGCGGTAGCATCACGCCCTTAGGCAACACATGCCATTGCTGCCACAATAATGTAGTCATCGAGTCGAATATTCTTTAATAATATCCGTGTTCTAATCTAAGGTCGCTGGGATACCGTCCCCGCTCTTACACTTTTATAAGAGCCAGAACATCCCTTGAATGCATGGACCCTTTGTCTAGTTCATATGTTCGACATTCATTCAGAAATCAAATGCTTCAAGGGCCAAGATCGCGTGAAAGCCAGTACAGTTGACTTTGAGCAGCCGCTACAATCTTGGCACATTTTCACTGTGAAACTACAGGGGTTTTTTTTTAAATCTTTAAAACACTGTAAAGTACATACGCGTGACAATCTAGTGCATGTGAGTCTGAAAAGTCCCAGTCTAGAAAGCAATTCTTTCACATCACTCTACCTCTGATTTCTGACTACAAACCAGTCTGTGCGTGGACCATTCGTGAGGCTTTGAATACTCCAGGTTTCATTCGGTTAGAACAATAGCCCTATGTATTCAATGTTCCTCGCAGGTGTTGGGAAAGAAAAGCCGTGCTGTCAAATCTATATACCATGCAGATGGCACTTCATAACAACGTCATTTTAGACCGATTAACAGCTGTCGTGCACAGCTGATTTAGAAGTGTGCAAGGAACTACGGCTACAAGTATTGGAACAGAAGTAAGAGTAAAAAAAGAGTTCGGTATCAGAATACGCCAGCCAGCTAGTCCGTCGAAGCAAATGTTGATTACAATATACAAAGAACACACCTTGGAAACACGACGATCACGTCTTCTGCTCCTCCACAAACTTCAGAGCCTCCTCGCGTGAGACAACATCGATAGTACTGGCCTTTTGCCTGAAGCTCACACCATAGCACTTCTCCGCCACGTGCAGCATTTCAGGCCGGAATGTAGTGCAAATGAACTGACCATTGGTCGAATCCGAAATGGATTTGAGCATCTGTGCAACAGCTGTCCGGTACTGAGCATCCAGGTTGGCATCGATCTCATCGAATAGGTAGAATGGTGCGGGGTCGCAAGCCTGGATGGCGAAAACGAGTGCGAGAGCGCAAAGACCTATGGCAAGTCAGTCAGCAACTTGCAAAACAAGATACAGGTTACGTGAATGGAAATTCTCACTCTTTTGCCCACCACTCAGCTGTTGGATACGCTGTTGGTCATCGTGCTTGCTATTGAAGCTCACACTGATGCCGACACCGACGTAGTTTTCCACACTCTGTCGAGCTTCCTCGTCATCCGAGTCAACATCGTCATCCAGTCGTGTAGCACGGTCGGTCTTCCTTTGGATGATAAGACGACCACGCCCGGCGGGAACAAGCTTTTCGAATACGTTGTGGAACTCGCGTGAGACCTGCTTGAAGGTTCGTTCAATGGCCTCATCCTTGCGTTGATCAAGAACGGAAATGAGGTCATCAATGGATTTTTGGGACGCATCCAGCTCAGAGCGACGTGCAGTAAGAGTCTCACGCTGCTTTGTAAAACTGTTATACTGTTCAAATGCCTTCTTGTTGACGTGAGAGTATTTCTTAAGAGCCTCGTTGGTCTTGTGGAGCTTCTTGACAACGGTGTTGGAGTCGGTATTTTGGTACTTGGTGAAAGCTTCATCCGGAAGAACACCGAGGGACCGGATATTAGCCGCACATTCGGCACCCTGCTTAGTGAGTGCTGCCTTCTTTTGCATGCTCTTCTCCATACGGCGCTGATGCTTCTCGATAGATCGAGCGAGGTCCTCAATTTCCCGTCGGGTCTCAGCATTGCGCTGTTGGAGATCCATCACGCGAGCGTTTCCCTCTTCAATAGAGGTGTCGACCTTATGAATTCGTGCATTGAGCTTCTCCAATGCTTGGCCAATGCGCTTTACTTCACGCTGTGTCTCTTTCAGATTACCCTGAACTTCCTCGTCAGCGATGTCAATGTCCCTGTTGAGTAGTTGGTCAAGGCGAGGGTTGAGGTTCTCGCGAAGCTCAACTTCCAGGACCGACTTGCGTGCCTCGAGCTCGCTGCGCTGACCCGAAAGCTCTTGGTATTGACGGCGCAGATCTTGCACTGTGCTGCTTAAAGTCTCTAGTCGAGCTTCCTCTTCGCTGGTGAGAGCTTTTTGGAAAGGCGAAGATAGTTCGGTCTGGAATGCGTTGACTTGGTCATTCAGTGCCGCAAGGTTAGACTCGACATTACGAAGAGCACGTCGCTTAGCATCAAGAGTATCGTTCTTGTTTTGAAGGAGATCGCGCTTGGCTCTCAACTCATGTCGTAAAGGTCCGTTGCTATTCTGGACCTGATGTCTCTGTTGCTCAAGCTTTTGCAATTCACCAACAGCCTTGGTGATCATCTGGTCGAGTTTCTCTAACTCCTTCCGGATTTCGGTACCACGATTTCTTTTGGTCTCATACTCATCTCGCCACTTTGCTAGACTCTTGACGGCATCCAGTCGCGACTGACGGGAGTCGTGATATCCACCGGTCAAGGCACCACGCTTGTCTGATCTATCACCCTCTGGAGTGATAGCATTGACACCATGACTTCGTGCGTACTGTGAAGCAACCTGCAAATTGGGACAAATAATAGTCTTGCCGAACACATGTTGGAAGGCTCTGTCATATGCCGGGTCGTACTGCAACTTGTCGATCATAGGTATTGTGTCACTAGCACGAGGCATGTTCATCGGCCTCGGGCGAAGTCTGTTCAGAGGCATAAACGTCACACGACCAGCCTTTTCCTTTTGTAGAATCTCAAGAACGGCTGTAGCAGTTTCATCTGTGTCAACAACGTAGTGGAATAAACTCTGGCCGGCAGTGACTTCGACGGCGGTACGATATCTATCATTGACATCGAAAAGCTCAGCAAGAGTCCCGTAGACCCCTTCGAGGTTATGCTGGTGTTTGATTCGGCGCACTGCAGCAGTTCCGCGACTGGTGTTGTTATCCATCATTTGCGAAAGATTGCGCTCAGCACGGTCTACCTCCTGAGAAGCATTCGAAAGCACAGAGTCAAGCTTTGCTTCTTCTCTCCATAGTTCCCTGCACAAACATTAATATCCGGTTCTAGCCAATCAATGATTTAAGGGAACATACTTTCTTTGATCCATGAGACGGTCTCTTTCATCCTTAGCATCTTGGACTTGTTGATCTACATTGTGCATTGTGTCGCCGCGTCCATCGATTTGCTGGCGCAAGCGTTCAGTTTCCGGCTCCAAAGCGGCAATCTCCCCTTCTAGGTCTTGGATATCTTCTTGTGTCTGAGAGATCACACCCTGGACAGTGTTGATAGAATTATGGCTCTCGCGGACTTCCATGTTCAGCCACTTGTCACGCTCAGATTTGTTCTTGAATCGCGAGTTTCGACCCTGCTTCGCATACAAACGTTGACGGGATGTCTCGGCATCCGTCAACTGTGATTTGATTGTGTCTTCCTGATTCTTCAAGGCATTAAACCGAGGGAGAATTTCCCGATGTTCGGCTTCACGCTCACTGATAGCGGTCTGAACAGAGCTAAGGTCGGAGTCGTAGCGAGATTTCAGTGCTTGTGCGGCAGCCTGGTTGTCAGAAAGAGACTTGGCCTGCAATTCATTTTGGGCCAGAGTCTTAGATGCTTCACGACGTTCGTCCTCCAATTGAGCCTTGTCAACCTTCAAGAACTCAATCTGTTGCCGGCACTCCGCAATCTCAGCATCGATCTGAGCCATAGCCTTCTCGCCTTCAACGAATTGATCGCGATTGTTGTCGGCATCCTCAACGCCGTTCTGTCGTCGCTCTTCGATCTCATTCAGAACCTTACCAATCTCCTGTTGTTCAAGGGAGTAAATGGTGTACTCTAGACAGCGGCGCTCCTTGTCTTTCTCCTGGTAGCTCCGAAGCTCATCCTTTTCTTCTTCGAGTTCGGCAAGACGTTCATTAATATAGTCAAGAAGTTCATCAATCTTGGCGCGCTTGTTGTTGGTCTCATTCATAATTTTCAAAGACTCCGAACGACGAGCTTCGTAGACCTGAGTGCCAGCAACTTCCTTAAGTAGAACCAGGCGCTCGGAGTCTTTCATGTTGGTCAAGGCAGTCACTCGGCCTTGGGGAACAATGTAGTAAGGGTTGGAGCGAGAGAAACCAGCCGACTCAAGCAGGTTCATAACATCGTTCTTGGTGGCATTCTTGCGGTCGAGGGTATATTCGTCCTTCTTAATACCAATAGTACGACGCAGGACGACCTCAGGCTTGCCGGTAGGGAATCGATCGTCGGAGTTGTCGAAGATAATTTCGACATAGGCGGACATCACAGCTGAACCAGAACCTTCCTGCTTGGGGTCAGGCAATGTCGATTTGAGTGATACTTAGATACGTACGTGCAAAAGAGCTTGGCGCTCCTCCCTACCGAGATGAGTGTAGGCATCGCTGAGGACGAAGCGAATAGCCGCGAAGAAGTTACTCTTCCCGGAACCATTGCGGCCGACAATGACGTTGTGTTTGGGGGAGAATGGCTCGATGACCGTTTGATCTTTGTAGCTAGATTTTGCGCAGAGTCAATAGATGGTCCTATATGGTCATAGAAATTGGGTACGGGGTGACATTTACCTCTTGAAGCCTTGGATAATGATCTGCTTCACATACATCTTGAGAAGAAACGCGCGACGCGAGGATCAATCGGAACACCCTCGGCCTAACGCGCCTGGCGCAAGAGTAAAAGTTAGGGGTAGAATGTTCCACAAGGATCTCAGCCAGCAGATCTCTTTGGCAATGAACAGAAAAATGCCGAGAGGTATCGTGATTGCGTTTTAAAATCTTGGTCATTAACTACGCGAGGAACGAAA